CTCGACTCCGTCTCGGTCCATAAACACGCAAAAAAAAGAACTTGGCCAATATCCAGCCATTTTGACCTCACACTTGGTCAATAACCCATACACATTATGTCCTTCTAGAAAACCATATTGAAAGATCTTTGCTTTTGAAACATTCAACATACTCAAAGAAAAGAAGTCAATCCATCCTTTTGCTTTGCTGTATTGATTCTCTCACATCAGAAAAGTTCCAAATGACTGACCTTGTTTGAAATTGCCCTATAATGCATTGCAAATCCATGATCATTGACTACATCATATATACCTATGGATTATTCTCTTGTAATGCACGGATTTGATCCTTCATACTAGTATCTGGTGACCAAAAATTTGCATTTGGGGACTATTATTTATTGGCCCCTTTCCTAAAAAATTGGCCCCCAAGAGGTCTTCAGGGGCCCCTTTGGCCCTCAAGTAAAATTTTCTGGCTGGCTGGTTTGTCATGTAACAAGGAGCTAGATTGCATAGAATGAACTTTTTATAGATGATAGCATTAGAATACTGTTTAACATTTTGAATGAAGTTCCTTAGTTTTTTCAATATTACATGTTCTGTAGTTACACAACAGATACTTGTAATTAACAATAATATGAACTGTCTTTTTAGGTATGGTCAATTATAGTTGGATACATTCTAATTCTGGTATTTTTCTGGACCCCAAGCTCCTCAATCATCATTTCAGTGTTCTCTCTCCCTGTGTGGATTATGTTTCTGCTTCATCTTGTTTCTCTCACTGGATCTTACAGAATTCCATTTTTCATGCTGCTTGTCATATGCTCAATTGTTGGATGTATTACTGGAGTTTCAGAGGGGCATGATCAAGGTCAGATTATAATAAGTAAATAGTCGAATAAAATTAATTAGACTGGTAAGCTTTGTGCAAGGCTGCTGCCTATTAGAGTACTTTTAAGGAGCCTGATATCAGAAGTTAGGAATCCAAGCCATAATGTTGGAAGCCCAGCCTAAAGGTTGCCAGCTGCTTAAACAGAAATTTAGTTGCTCACACTCGTAACTGTGTACCTGTTAGGCAGCAGCCTTTTTTGTGGTTTTGTCTTTGTGATGACAGCTGCAAATAATGTTAGCCGTTACAGATGACTGGGCTTAGAAATAATGAACCTGTCCTCAATTTGTGAATGTGAGGACCTCTAAAGGTGTACTACATATACACTGTATGCAGTGAATTCCAGCAGTGGCTGGTCATCATCAGCAAATCATTCACATTCTATCGGTTGGGTGGGTATTAGATGATACAAGTTAATAGCTGTTTCTATTAAAACTTTAGTTTGGTCTCATTCTCAACATGGATGCACCTTTGAAAGACTATAGACAGAATAACTGCATCACAATGTTAACTTTATTGTAAAACACAATATTCTATTGCATGAAAATTACTATTTAACAGCCTAACAGCTGTTCATCTCATTCCATAGTTGATAGCAGGGAAGACTGGGAGAATAGAAGACATAGTTTGCTTAGGGGCTTATCTGTGGCAGCTGTTGCCTTGGTAAAATCATTACCAACCTCTGAGTCAAATGACTCCTGTGATGAAAGCCATAAAGACTCATCTCCAATGGTCTGTCCTTCAACACATTCTGCTGCATCATCCAAGGATGGAACAGATATTGTTGATGAAAAAGCTTTGTTAAAGCTTCGCAGAAGTAGAATGCAAAAACCAAAACAGAAACTTAAGATCAAGGAAGAGGGCAAATATGATAGCAAAAGCAAGATGTATTTTCAGGCTCTTTTCTGGGGAATTCTGCTGTCAAGACTTTGGCTTCATTGGGACTTTATAGTGATTCTGTTGATACCGATCATATTTTATGCATTGAAACAACTTTTAGCATACTGGAGTTCCTCAATTTATTCAAGTGCACCATCAGTATTTCTCCTTTCTCAGTGGGACAACCTTAAAAGTTGGGCTAATGAAAGAAAACAAGCATTGATTCCAACACCACTCAGTGGATTGTTCAAAGGAGGAATTAAAGTAGATTTCACTGTAAGTCTCTATTACCACAGTCAAGTTTTTGTCCATCCAAAATTGTATACTTAAACAGGTGCTATCATGACAATTTTAGCTGCATTTTTGGTCAAAAAGGTTCAAAAATTGGTGGCAAAGTACTTTGTTCATTTATAAAATGTGCCTATAACACTACAATGAAGACTTTAATAAACAGTTGAGAGGTAAGTAAATTGTTATTAATTCTTAGCAATTGCTCAGCAAAATGAACACGGAATTTGAAAATGCCTGCAAGTCAGTTTTCGATCAAAACCATGGGTACACCTAACACATGACAATGTCTCTTATGACTTCATTGCACTCATATATTAAATGTGCCTGCCTCTAAAAATCAGACAAATTCTTAATTTAGCGGCAAGGGTTGAAAATTCGATTTCGCTCATATTCTTATGGTAGATAGGCTAGGGCATGACAAAAACTACTGGATAGTTTTTTTGGCAAAAT